CACCAACCCTGGACAGACACACACACATGCTCACACCAGGGCCAGTTTCCCCAGCAGCCCATTAACCCACCAGTGTCTTTGGTCTGTGGGAGGAAACCCCCACAGACACACAGGGAGATATTGGCCCAGGAACTGAGCCCAGGGCCCCAGAAATGCTACCCATTGCAACACTGTGCCATTCATTTCTTGTAGATATTAATGGTAAAACAATTCAACCTACTGTTTTTCAAGAGGTGCACATATGTGCATATACATGTAACAACAATGCATTCTGTGATGTGTCTCTAATAGAGGTATATCTTTCTGATATCAGTCTGCTTATTGCACTGTGTAACATTTGCATGTGATAGTTCATTGTACAAAATGTGATTGTCTTACATAATGAATGAGATAGACACTCCTCCCCAAAGAAATTCAGGCTTGCAGGTTTCTTCCATGTTTTTTAAACTCCCTTTGAATGTTTAAGCCTCATATATTGTAATATATATGAAGGACTTAGTGAAGGACTAAGAGTTTAGTTCATTTACAATGTAGAGAAATTGCATTTTATGTTGCATTAATTATTTGTGACATAATCACCTCTATTCTCCAGAACTCGGCAACAACCAAGAGTAATTAATTACCTTGGATATCTTTAGAATGCAGTAGTGAATACTATAACTAAATTAGTATTTATGTCTTTCTTGTAAAGTTCTGATGAAGACAGATGATGACATGATCATGGGTAAATGGTCCTGTCTCAAGTATTGAATCAGTGATGATAATAATACTGGTTTAGACTCTGGAATCTTCTGTAATAATCTACTGTATTGTATTGTATTACTGAATGTCACTGAGGTGTTACAAAGCACAATTTTATAACACAATATGCTCTCTAAGGTTTGAATCTACATTAGTACATAAGTTATTTCATGAAGTTCTTTATTTCCACAGTTGTAAACATAAGATTACTATATGCAAATATTAGTACTTCAGAACTGAGTAGCCATCAGAGGTACAGCAGCCCACTGACACAAAGAAAAGCAACTTCTGAAAAGCTGTATAGAATCCTTTGGTGCATTTTAAGCAGTCTAATTAGTGATCAGCACTGCAGGCTGTTAGCCATAACGGCAGACAAAAATAAATGTAAATAAGCTTCTAATAAAGGAGTTTTAGAAATAATAATTTTGATCTCTGCAGAACATGAAAGGATGTCAAAGTTTCATAACACAGATTTCATTTCCAGTTGCATACAACTTGGAAACTATACTGCTGCAAAATGAAATTAAAATTCTTCACAGAATACTACAAGAGCTAATACATTCACATGTTTAAAAGATGTGTTTTCCAACAATCAACAGGGAAAACAATTTTAAAACTGAATGAATGGAGCCTTGAATTGCGAGGAGTCTTATCTCCCAGTTAATAGATGTTTAAAAGGGATGAGTTAGTGATCTCTTACACAGGTGGCACAGAGCCGTAGTGGTTTGCATTGCTGCCTCACAGCGCGGGGTTCATTTCCGGACCTAAGGAGCTTTTTGTGTGAAGTGTTTATTCTCCCTGTGTTTGTGTGGGTTTCTTCCAGGTGCTTTGGTTTCTTCAACAGTCCAAAGACTGTAGCTTAATTGGCTTCTGGGGGAACTGGCCCTGGTGTGTGTGGCGTCCTGTCCAGGGTACGCACGCCCTGTGAAGGACTGGTGTCCTGTCCAGGGTGTGTGCGTGCGTGCATGCTTGCATGTGTGTGTGTGCGGGCGCCCTGTGAAGGACTGGCGTCCTGTCCAGGGTGTGTGCGTGCGTCCTGTGATGGACTGGTGTCCTGTCCAGGGTCTATCCTGCCTTGCGCCCGTTGATTGTCTGAATAGGCTCTGGCTCCCAGGCAACCCTGAATTGGATAAAGCAGTTAGAAAAGGAGTGGACGGATATCTTATGGAGCAAATATGTCTTAAAAGGGAAAATGTCCATAAAGCAGCCTCACCCTCTCATCTTGAGCCACCACTGGAAGTCATACAATGCATTTTTGTTTGAAAATAAAGTAAGACAATCTGACATTCTATCTTCAGCGCAGAATTTACCTTAACCCTTATCCTGCCTGGATGGCAGTTAGTGTTCTTCCCGTTTATAAATTACGTGTCTTTATGTAGCTTCCCATGCTTTGTCTTAATCTTGTACAAGCTATTGAGAACTCATTGCATTCTCCTACAAAACAAGTATTTTCACATCATACATCTCTGTGTTCAACATTCAGTTTTTGATTTCAGTTATATTAATTTTGGTTACATAAACATCTAAACTGTCTAAAAATATTTTAAAATTAACCCCATCATGTTGCTCTTCTCCTCCTAACAGAATTTTGCGACTCTTGTGTTTTGCCTCTGCATAATTTGCTCCAATGACACCATCTGTTCAGCAGAAGAATTTTTTTTATAAAAAAAACATTGTACTTCACCTGGAGGAACGGATGTGACTACAAGTTCATAAATGTTGTTGTTACTCTCCTTAACTCATTCTGTTTCTTAAACAGGGGATTGAATCACCTCATTTAAATCTCATTTTACATTTTTGTAAAATGGTATTCATCACAGGGTGATGAAAGAAGGAGCAGGGCCTTGACTTGGAGGCTGTGTTTACCTGGGTTTTTTGCATATAATGACCAATGCTTTTGTCAGATATAGTATGTATTTTTTTTTCTCTCTTGTATCTGATTCTCTCTCCCCTTAAGGGATGCCAGCCCTGTAGTGCATACAGTACCGCAGGCAGCAATCATCCCAGACTGGCCTGGACACCCATCATGTGCCACACAGTCGGAGGAGACACACTAGACGGTGTGGGGGTGCTGAGCAGGATGAGACTGGACCTGGAACAGAGCGACAGAGGGGAGAGACAAAGGAGGGAGGGACCAGTGCACCGTGACAACTCATCATCTTCATGCCAGCGGTACCTCAAGCAGAGCCCACTGGTTTCCGTCTGCCTGTGCCCCATGACCGCCACTGGACATCCTTGGCCAGGATGCAGGATGCAGGTGTAAAATACACAAGCCTTGGCCAGTGGAGGTCAGTGAAGGACAGTGGAGGTAGGTGGAGGTCAGTGGACATCAGTGGAGGCCAGTATAGGTCAGTGGAAGACAGTGGAGATCGGTGGAGGCCATTGGAGGTCATTGGAGGTCAGTAGACATCAGTAGAGGACAGTGGACATCAATGGAGGACAGTGGAGGGCAGTGGAGGTGAGTGGAGGCAAGTGGAGCTCAGGGGCCAGGCTAAGAGACACCCAGTGGAACATATTTCTCTGGTGCTCTCACCACAAAGGAAGAAGCTAGTGAGATAGCCAGAGGATTACAAGGAGTTTTCTTCCTATTTTTTGAGCAGCAGAAGGAGGCGTGCCAGGATGATGTTTTATTTTTATTGGAGCATGCTGGAGAGATACAGGGCTCTCCCCTCCTCAGGGAATGCTCTACAAAACTTTATTTTTTGCTCTGTCTAAAGCTGGTTGTCAAATTGCTTGTTTGTCTTACGTCGTGCGTGTACCGTGATGCCTCAGGGTTGTTACAAGAAGCACGTTAGAATAATACAGTTACTGTGGTATCTACCTGCCTTGAGCAGGTCCGTGGGTGCGCGGGTGGCTCTGAGGGATCCATCCATCTGTGGAGGAGAAGGATCCTGGTGCCCGTGAAATCGCTGTACCTGCAGGAGGTCGGCATGGTGGCGATACACATACTGTACCGCACCTCGCACTGCTCGGCCAACCTCTTCATTCACACCACAGCTGCAGGCTCACACTGCAGCTTCCTGCAGACACCGGCGGCTTGCAGACTGTCACTCTACATTGAGTGCCCTCTTTCTACAGCTCCTGGCGCCTGGTTGTCATGGACACAAGGCACCTGTATCTTCCCCTCCATTGTTTGAGAGCATGTTGAGCTCTATCAGATTTGACTGCCTGTTTTTTTTTTCACAAAAAGTGAAATCTGCCATCTGTCTCTTTGGTAATGTAGCTTCTTGAAGCCTGAATTATGCTTCCTGTTTTTTTGAGGTGCTAGCAATCCTTCGAGACTGTCAGAATTTACACTCTACCCAAGTCTGATATTGCCTTCAAAGATGCGCTGTCTGGCAGTACTTTCCTGTCCTCTGAAACCATGGGATATTCCACGTGCTGGGTTACTGCTGTCATTTCACCTTCTCTAATACAGTAAGATTTACGGTGCACTTTTGGTTCCAAAGACGACCCATTGTGAAGTTAAAATACAGGCACGGTATTTCTAAATTGTCAGTGATCTGTTACTCGCACTGTCTATTGCAGACAATTATTTTACACATTTAAAAGGCATAACTGAGTTTGCAACACGTCTAGCATTACTAATGGCTGGAAACCCTCAGACATGTACCATAGTACAGCCAGCTACCTCGGAGGCCACGTCTTCGATGGAGGGAGTTATTTTTACTCCAGTTTAAGTGGTACTTTAAAAACCGGGGACAACATAGGAGAGCAATAAAGAATTGAGAAAATTAAAATAAATTCTCCAGATATCAAATGGTTATCAATACAACAGATACCAGATGTCACCACTACGAAGAGATAGAAGTTCATACTTAAATAAAAAGTAATGTTGCTTTTTCCAAAAAAAGTTCGTTTTAAACGGTTCCTTTGTGAAGTATGATATATACATATCGTGTATAATACATGCTGATCGCAGGCCGGTAATTGGAGAGAGTGGTTTGGCTCCAGATTGTAACTGGGATCATCAATTGATTTGCAGTGCTAGAAATACACGAACGGTTCTGCGTTTGGTCGTGTCATTGTGTTATCATATCCTCCCATTAAACCTCGCCAAATGTCGATGATCGGCAGATTCAGCTACACCTGAGAAAATGCAGCTAACACGTCGGCAGACATTTTAGACAGGCTGCAACAGACTACACTGTTCGGATGCAGGGGAGAAACAATTGAAAACAGACATTCGTGTCTTACGACTTTTATAAAGTATAAGAAACGTATCGTTTAAAAACTGTAACTGCGTGACTTCCCTTTTATCCTTACTGCAACACTGTTCTAGTTTGTTGTTTTTTTCTTTTCTATGAGTTGAAACGCAAAAAAAAAGCAATCAATTCAAACCAGGAGAGACTTGGTCCGGTGCTGTAATTTAAAAAGGAGACCTGCCTCCCGTCCAATTGGGGAGGAATTGAAGTAAACTCCGCCCCCGTGTGGGCACCAGCCCCGCCGGCTCCGGGAGGTGGGTCTTCGGGAGGAAGAAAGGAAGAGGACTTTTCGAAATGGGAATGAATGCAGATCTCGCAAACACGGGGGAAACAAAGAGCGTCGCAGAAGGAGGAAGGCTTGACTCGCTTCCCGGCGGAGCACCTTGAACAAAGCCAGGCGCACACATGCGCTCTCAGTGCCCGCACAGGTACCGCTGCTGTACTGGCCGGGAGGGTAGAGGAAGGCAAGAGGCTGCCCTGTTACTCCAGTGACCTTACCAGCAGATGTGGGAAAGAGAAAGTGAGGCGAAGTGAAGTGCAAAAGGAGGAAAGGAGCTGGGACCTGCAAGGCGCTGATCCGGGGGATGTTGCGCTCTTCTTGCTGACGCCGGAACCTCCGAGGGGGTAGTGGACTCGGACCAGTGGAAACGAAACCCGGAAAGGACGCGACCAGGGGATATCTCCGTGGGGGGTTCACTGTGTGGACGCAGTATCACACGTGTCAAAGTCCTGTCGGGGAAAGCGCTCGCCACCTGACGTGCCCCTGTCCGTGGGATTTATTGCAGCGAACTTCCTTCAAAGACTGGAAAGGAAGCTCCTCGGGAAAATCTGAGTTTTGTTTTAAACGGACAGTTGTTTGTTTTTTAAACTAACCGTTTAGAAATCGCTACCAGCCTTTTTGTTGTGAGGAGCATGTAGAGCCCCCCCCCCATTTCAACAACAGATGCGTCTCGGCGAATTTACAGCCCGATTCCCTAGGGCAGTGACAGAAGTTTACTTCGCCCCGATTTTGTCCTTTCATATCCTCGTTCCGCGCACCCCGTCCGGAGAGAGGTACTTGAAATAGCCGGGGACGAGATCGTTTTGAGCAGGACTGCCTGCCCACGACTATTCTTTGTGGTTAACGCGTTTCGCCTGTGACAAGAGCTCTTTCAGCTGCGAAGTGTCATTACAACGACGCATCGTCACTCACCATTCTCCGCTGTTCTGCCCACGGGGTTGAGAGCTCCGAAGTTATCTCGGGAAACATCTCCCTTTGTACCATATTAAGCTAAGCCCCTTCTTAAATAAAAGGATTAGGAGCCGAGGCACCGATGAGCACCTCCAGCCGCTGCCTGAAGTCAGTGGTGTGAGGCGCTGCCCTGTGCTGATCTGTTTTCCACAGCTCTCTCACCTTACTCACCCCAGCAGACGCGCAAACACCCCACACGGCGTTCCGGAGTCAGCCGAACACTTCACAGCGGGGTCCGTGGACGGCGGACGGGACAGACACGTTTTGGAGGCACCATTACAAATTCAATCTCGGTGTTGTGGAAACTGACAACTGGCGTGCGATTGTGATTTATTCCGGCGTTGTGAAGCTTCGGAAAGCGCTCTCTTGAAGCCACCGATACATTGCAATTCACTGATCTCTTGATTTGGAGATTGGGGTTCCCCCCCCCCCCGTTGCCCGTAATAAATGTCCGTGATAGATGTAAAGTTATTAAATTAGACCAGGGGCTGTGGTCTAAACAGGCTCATTCCTGGGCAATCTTTTTATACTGGAAATCAGTTTTTTTTTTAAAAAAAGGAAGTTAACTGAACAGTATATCTGACCGTGATACAGTGTCGAGAAGGATTAATTGCGGCGTCCGCGGACTCAATGGCAGCGATCAAGAGTGTGGGTTTAATTGCCGCTGTCATCGCATGTATTTTACTTGGTAAGTATATTTTCCATGTTTGGAGTATTGTCTATTTCATGTTACAAGCATGCAGCCCCCGTAATCTTATGTCTGTTTGACTTTAAGGGGTCATGGTCGATATTTTCGTATGTTGCCCCTATACTTCCAGGATTGAGCTTTCAGGATTTTCTTTTTGGGGGTGTTGAGCAAATGTTGCCCGAGGTGGCGGGGACCTGCGGTATCTTGACGTTTGAAGAGTTGCGATGCTCGCCGGTGTTTGGCCAAGAAAAGAAAACCAGGCGTTAGAGAGAGACGCTCGCTGCCTGGGGGAATTCGCCCCTGGAGAGGGCTAGGTCGCCACTCCTCCGTGCCGTGGGCACTCCCTGAGACCAAGCGTGGGAGAAGCCGTGTCTTGATCACTGAGTCACCCCGTCATGTAGGACTGCAACTCGGAGCCATGGAGAGGGGGGAAATACATTTTAGCGATACACTCTAATCCTCATTTTAACGCTAGTCGTATATCATTTTGAATAGGTAGATGCATCCATTGTGATTTTCTATTGTTGTTACTGCTGGAGTAAGGTTATTTTAAGAATGTGAAAGTTGCATTTTAGATATTATATTATGCGCCAGTTAAAAAGCTGTACTGATCTACAGTTCTGCGATTTGCGACAAAGGGGCGCACTGAAAAACGGAATTGTTACAGTCTGTGTCAATTGAGATCGGCTCACTCCTGATTAAATACACATTTATTTTTGGCTTTCGCCGTGTGAAAAGACGCACGAGCGGTGCCCTACTTTCTCAATACTGGGCACACCTGTCTGTTCACTACTTGCAGTTGTGCAACACGGAATTTGTATTTTATTGGAAATGCGCTTTTATAACCATTCTCTGTAATGACTCTGGTTTTAGTGTCTTATCGGGACAAATTCGCAAAAGAAAGAAAAGTGGATTGGTTATGTCGCGTAGTTGAAAAGCTGAAGGTAAAAACTGAAAAAAATAGAACATGGATGTTGTAACTCCTTAATTTATTTTAGTTTATATAATACTGTGGGGTGGGGGAGAAGGCAGAGAAAATCAGCATTCTTTTAATCTGACACAATAAAGTGAAAAATATTAAATAGGATTGGATTTGACCAAGGAGTGGACGAGTCTCTTATGAAGAGGGTTAAGAGCAATATAGATTTTTCCTTTCCAAAACGTGACTCTTACTAATAATAGTATTACTGTAATGTAAAAAACCATTGATGGATATACTGTACACCACTCATTAGTAATCCTATCTTGTTAGCAGTTACTATTTTCTTTACACTTTGCTCATATATTAATCACAGTCCTCACGCTGGGAACCAAGAGGTTTGTTAAAATATAAACGTTTGCAGGGCACCTGTGCAATTACTTTTTAAAGATTGCTTGCCAACGGTCTTTATTCTAACCCCATTAAAGTTCTGTGACAAAGCAAGTCATGGGCCTGTATGATTAACCATTATCACTTATGAGTGTCCGTGTAGCAAATTTTAAATCTTTTTTCTGTAGATGTCACTGTTGAGATCCAAACAGTTCAATTACCCTTTCTCCCATAACCCAGCAAATATACATAAGGGGTTTTACAGCATTTTAGAGCAAACTCCTCTGGAATCTCCATACCTGGCACACTCACATTTAATACTGTTTCTTTTATCCTGGCATGTCTCAGACATACTTAGAAAGGAATTACTGCCTTTCAATCACTTTTAAGGCATTGCTCTTCCTATCCCGAGAAATAGAATTGATTTTGTCACAAGTGGTTCAACATTTGTATCGGATGAGAGTCTTGGTTGGCAGGCTTTGGCAATGTTCCCATCTTAACCCCCTGTGGATTTTTCCAGCAGATGGAAATTTAACTCCGTTTGGCGCCATTGTTTGCAAACTCAGGAGCTGGGCAGCAGTGGAAATAGTAGCCAGATTTGTGTTTCAATAGGTGTTGCATAATTACAGCAGGAGGATACGGGTGAGGGAGAAGATTCTTTGTTTCTAGGACAGTATCCCAGCTGTAGAAGCCAATGATTTCTGAAGGCTTTTTTCTCAGAGAAATACTAATGCTGAATTTCTGATCATAAAGATTGCACACAGTCTTTAAGCGCATCACACAAGGTTTCAGTGGCAGTACTGTGCAGCAGCAGACGTTGGGACTGTCTTGTCCATTTCATCTTATCATTCTTCTACTTGTAATGCCTTTTCATTTTTAAAAATCATGACATTTTAATTATCTGTTTGTTGGCATCTTAGTGCTTCAGCACTGTACAATGTATGCAATCTTTTAAACAGTGGAATACATTTTTGGTTTAAATTCCTGATTTGAGTAGAATTAACTTCTTTATTCAGAACAACAAAGATGCTTTGCTATATTTGTAAAAAAGGTGCATCTGCATATATTGATTCACTTTATCTGAATGTTAACATTTCATTGTTTCAAATATTTTGAATTTGTTTTATCTCTGCAGTAAAATTGGGTGATAGTCTATTATTAAGAAAACTCAGGAAAATGACTGGTATATTTTGGAAACATTTGTTAGGCCTCCTATTGTTGTGCAACTTTCTCTGTAGCATTTAAACCCCACAATAAAGCCCACCAGTCTGTAATGACTGCGCAGTATACCGCTGATGACCAAGGCTTGATTCCCATTTCTGGAGACACTACTACATTACCAGACATCTCCTCTTCTCACCATTGTGACATAGTGAAGTTTGGAATGCCAGCTGGCTTAGGAAGTATTTTTAGCGCCACGTTCCTTAAAAAAATATTTCTTCCATGCATGGAAGACTGTATGCCTAGGTTACTGCTTGTTGACCCCTTTTGTCTTGGTTGCAGAGATGTACATTGGGCAGCTGGTAAATTCTGTTTATCGGGTCCTGTCAAACTATGCTCTGTGCAGTGAAGACAGTGTGCGGATCTCAGGAGTTCTCTTGGGGAAACTTTCCACTGTACTTTATATCTTGACGTTGTGCAGACCTAAAGCAGGATTTTGGCAGGGCAGTACTTGTGTATGTTCTGGATGTACTGGTACTTTCATTCACCTAATAAACAGTCTGTCAATTCATTGAATCATTTTTCAGAAATCATTTTCAGATTCATTTTTCCCCATGACTGTTCAAGGTTTGACAAGTGCATTACATTTTGGTAAACTGCCCAAAGGTGTTCTCGCTAAAGATTTTAGAAACCCAGGCAGGTCAGAGTAAACCCACCAGAATTTTTTCAGGATCCCATGGGGAAAATGTTAGGGGAGCTAAGATTATTGCATTACCTTCACGTTGTTCTTCTGTGTTTTCCAAATACAGAGCGAATTTATTTTCAGTGTTCATCATTTGATTTTACTGGCATTGCCTCAGTTGTCTCTTCTTCAGAATCCCTTGGCTCACAAAGCAACTAATGAAAATCAATGAGACAAGAAACACTCCTTGTCTTGGATACTTTCGTTAGTACAGTACATTTTGAATTGCAATTAATTCCTAAGAAACAGAGTGTAAGCAATGCTTATACCTAAGGGGAGACTCTTATCATCTGCAGTTGCTAGTTGAGCATGGAAAATCACAACCAGCTATTTAAACTAAAGATTTTCCAGTCTGCTGCTTTACTAGCTGTATAGGTTGAGTATTGTCTTCTTTTGCCTATGTTTTTTTATGATCGGGGGTGTACACGTCTTAAAGGCAGTTGTACATTGGGGTATAGGAACTTGTTTTTAATGTAGGAATATCATTGTTTTTTAGCCATATTTAAGTCAGCCACTCCCTATCACTGCTTTGAAATGTTTTGAATTTTAATAATTCAATATTTACTTAAAATTGGGTGTGTTGTTTGTTCAAAACGATCAAGTTCTCTGAGCTGAAATGTTCTTCTATAAAGCAGGTCTGGGAACAACAGATCAGATTATAATTTGTTTCCCAAATTTTCAAATAAAATTCCAGTCACTTCAAATTTTAGTTGATATATCTGATTTCTCTGTGTGTTCTGTTCCTTATTGCAGTTTTCATTTAATATGGAGCCATTTCTTTTTAGATTTTATAGGGAAATAACAAATAGTATTTTTTGTTTATAGTATTTGTTGTTTACAAACTATTGTGTGGTTATATTGGATGATAATATTTCTCCCTATAACTTTGTTTCTCTCCTAATGGCATAACTATGATGTTCTCATTTAAAGTAGAGACATGCTCAGAAATCACTGATGTGATAACAGCTTTTCGTTTTCACAGTGTGCAGTCATACACTTAATTCCCATTTACTTTAAAAAAAACATAGACATGTGACGTTTGAAGCAACTGTAAGCCAGACCATCAGGAGTCTGTAAATTAAAATATTTGTGTAGCACACATTGCTCTAGATAACAGTCCAGCCTATAGTATTTGCTGAATACAGTTGCTGCTTTTTACATGAACATTTAAAATAAATATTTAAAGATTCATAGTAACAACATCCTTGAACTTTAACATATTAACTCCTTGATAATTCAGTTGTACTTTATTTTACATTTACAATATGCTTATGAAGAATGCTACAGCCAGTGTTGGTAAGAAGATTAAATGTCAGTAAATTTGAGTATTTTTCCGTTACTCACTCGGGGATGAACAGTAATTGATCTGAGTTGTATTTTTATTCTTCGGATGCTCAGTTTCTTTTTCCCATTGCCGAAATTTAATTTAACGTGAGTTCAAACTCATTCCAGAGGCAGTGTTAACCGGGTGAGGCGTTAGCAATTTTAGAGTTGGGGACTAGGAAGGTTTTGATTTTCCGTTAATCTTTTCAAGATTTTTTTCCCCCTCTTTCCATCAATCAGCCTAAGAAGTGGCACCTGTTAGCTGTTCCTGAGACAGAGAGTCAGTTATTTATTTCATGTGAGGAACTTGATCTATTACTTTGTCCTCATTAAATAGACAGGTGAATGGTTGAATAACAAGACTGTAGCTTGGCTACCTGGGAATTAAGTATGTACTCTGTTTTAATATAGCTGGAGGTGCTAGTATCATTGAACAAAACCTGGATTAAACAAATGTTTGTGCAA